GGAGGAGGCAGGGCTCTGGCCATGGTAAAACTCAGGGTGAGGTTGAGAGAGGAGGAAACCCAGCATGGGCTGAGAAGCAGAACAATTAAGCTAAGTGCCCACCTTTCAAGGAGACTTATCAAATCCTGCTCCTCTCGAGGAAGGATGATTCTCCAAGTGTTGTGTTGTGCTGTCATAAATGCGTGGGGGAAGCCTTCCTATTCCCTGAGAAAGGAGGACATCCTCACCTCCCTGCCCCCAGCTCTTACCCAGTCAGAGGGAGGAACCAAGTTGAGTGCTGTGACTTGGTAAAATGACTTTGCCTAACCTCACAACAGAGTGAAGTGCCATGATCTTGACAGAAGGATGTTCTATACTCACAAGGGATTTCATGTGTAGCAGAGCCTGGGAGGAGGGGCTCTGGAAAGCCCCCCTCAGCCTCCCTCCCACTGTATCTTGGGGTGTCTGAGGACCCACGAGTCAAGGGCCACCGGACTCTCACTTGGTGCTCTGCCTGAGGCAGGTGTGGCCCATGGTTAGCAACAGACAAGGCTGTGCCACCCATAGGTTGCTTCCTCAGCCAGAAACCTTTTCCTCTGCCCCGTCCTCATGCCTGTCTTTCCTATAGGAAATTTCCAGGCCACGGGAAGATTGCCTCTCTTCATTGTTTGCAGATGCTAGCTGTCTCTGCTGTGCTCTGCTCCGTGACGCCAATGCATCTCCTGAGCTCTCTGTTTAGACAGCGAGGTGTGCAGCAGCAGGTGCTGGTGGCTGGCAGGTGGGAACACCTCAGCCCTGAAGTGGCCTGCACAATGCAAACAGCTGGAGCTGACCACCAGCTGTCACCACAGTGAGAGCCAGAGGGAGAGACGTACTGTTTCCCTCCCCAGCTTTGGGAATATGTCTGTGAGTTCGGTACCGGCACTTGGGGACAGCTCCCAACCTGTTCCTTAAGGTTCTGGCTCTCTGCTATCTCAAAGTGGGCACCTCCTCGCCTAGAAAATGCTCCCACCTGGACTGTGCTCCCCCAAATTGCCACAAGCATGCAGCCTCCTCATTAAGCCCTGTCACCAACCTGCCCCTGTTCCTATGTCCTCACCTACATGGGCTGCTCCCCTCTGGAGACTTTCTTATCTGTACTGAACCTAAAGAGATAAGTGAGATAATGCACTTAGAGATAAGTGCATTAACCTAAGGAATACCCCAGCAGTGTGGGTTTCAGGCCTTGAAGACGAAAACTTTCAAGCCACTAGGCAGTTAAGTGGCCTCCTAAGCAACATAACTAAAGACAGCCTCCTCCTTTCCTTATTCAATACTACCCGCCTAGGTCCCTCAGTCCTGGGGCAAACCGAGTTGCAGGAAAGAACTGCAGAGGCTGGAAAGCTACCCAGGCCTGGTGCTCTCTGCCCTAGGCACCTAGGATTGCTGATGGTTCCTCCACCCCCATCGGCACCCTGCTCTTCTAACGCTGCGGTGCTACCAAGCACCAGCACAGGTGGCCGGGAGGAAAACGCCCCTCAGAAAGACAGACAACTAGAACAGACCAGCAAGACAGTGGGCAGACTCTAGAGGGGACTGACACTTCCAGTTGAAAATCACGGGAGAATAAGTTAACAGGCTGAGGAAGAAAAGTTTATTCACAAGCAAACAACCCTGAGGCCTTGCTTAGTTACACCCCAGGGAACAATCTCATCAAATGTGGGGGCCGGAGAGAGGTTGGCTAATAGTACAAATTCTAATGTTTCCTAGCAGAGTAGGAGGACTATGGTTAACAACAGTGCAGTGCACATTTCAAAACAGCTAAAATAGAGGACTTAAAATGCTCTTAAAACGTATAGAGATGACAAACGCTCATAGTGACCGATATACTAAGTCCCTGACTTGACCGTTACATACTCTTGATGCAACAAGCGATCAGTGTACCAAATACTTTATACAAATGTCACGTATCAATAAAAACTGTTTAAAAAGCCAGTGAAAAGAGAAATAGAATTCCACCAAGCACATTACTAACCATAGAGAAAGATGATAACTTTGATTACATTAAAATTAAGAACTTCTCTTCCTCAAAAAAAAAAAACATAAGAAATTAAAATTAAAAAGACTAGCCACAAACTAGGAGACTTTTTAACACAGGATTTATATATGTAATATGTAAAGAACTCTTACAAGTCAACATGGAAGTGATAACTCAGCAGAAAGATGGGCAAAGGACACAAACGAGCATCACATCAAGGTGACAGAACAGTGTGACACTGTGACATGACAGGATGCTTAGCCCCATTATCTGACGCCACTCAAACCCTCGATCAGGATATCTGATAACCCCCAGCGTAGGTGAGAAGGTGGCCACAGGGGGACCCACATACCAGCAGCAGTGTGATTGGTGCAATCGCTTCGGAACACAACTTGCATTGCATTGTCTCATAAAGTTGAATTTTCACGCACCTTAATACCCAACGATTGCGCACCTGATTCTATACCACTATAGCATTATACAAAATCAATGGCCACTGTAGCATTATTCAAAAGGATGGCCACTATAGCATTATTCAAAATCTTTTTAAAAAACATGACATATATCTACAGACAGGAAAAATGATAAATAACTATGGCATTGACGTGGTGGAATATTATATAGCAATGAAAATGAACAAACCACAGCTACATGCAGCAACATGGGTGAGTGTGAAACACCGTGAGTTTGAAAAAAGTAAGTCTGGCTCGGCGCCTGTGGCTCAAGTGGCTAAGGCGCCAGCCAC